TTATTTTGAGGAAAAAAAAAAACCACCTATACAAAAGAGAGAGAGAGAGGCTGTTCAGTTTGCTGTTAGCCCAAAAAAAATAGTTGGGCTTCAATTGGCCTCATGGTCCAAAACTTTCGGGCTTCATTAGAAAACGAAAGGCCGATTTATACGAAAAATTACATAAATATACCACTTTTCTTTGGAAACATTTTCATATTTAGCCACCTAAAACAAATTATTATAAACACAGAGAATTTTAGTCTGTGCAATTAAATTAGTGAGAATATTATATATATATATATATATATATTTTTGTAATTTATCATTTTAATATAACTTTCTCATCAAACTTTTACTTTATTTCCTTAGGTTTAGAGATTTTCATTTGTTTCAGTTATCAATTTTTACTTTTTTTTTTTGAGTTCAAATATTTTTATTTACTATCATATTCAAACTTCTTAAATTATTTTTGATCAGTTCAAATAATTTACTTACGCATAATTGCAACTAGAGAGTGCATCTATCATATTTTCATAGAAAATTATACTTCAAACCAAATTCACTGAACTTTCCTTACAAAACATTTCCTAGAGATTTTCACTAGCAATTACATCAAATAAGCACCATAATTTCGTTTCACATATCTATTAAGTTTTAACCTAATTTGTACACATATTCTAGTTGGAACGTACACATATCCAAGGGGCCATCAACCTAAGATAAAAATATAATTTTTTTAAACCAAATTAGTATATTCAAGTATTTTTTAAATATTATTAAAAATAAAACTATTTTTAAAGATATCATAAACCCCAAACTAATTTTAAAAATAATGCTACTTTAAAATTTTAGCTCATTTATCTCATTTATGGAAGTGACGACTTGCACCATCTCAAGAGATTACCTCCATCCATTGACTTACATGTCCTCTCTTCAAGAAATAACATGTGTTAAGCCTTAACTTAATTTGTATGTATCATATGGCGAAACACTTGGAAAAATAATTTAGAAGCGATGATTCAAATTCCGCCACGTATCTAAGATAAAAATATAAATTTTCTTTTAAGTAAGACTAGTATATTTATGGTTTTTAATATTAAAAATTAAATAGTTTTATTTTTAATAATATATATATTTTAAATCTACATCAATTATTAAAACGAATCTGTTTAAACCTTTTATAAAAAGCAATGATTGTTTAAATAATCACAAACTTATTCCTTTAGAGAAAAAAAATCACAAACTTATCCAATTATATAGCTTTGCACGACTGTATTTAACAATAGCAATTTTTTTCTTTTGTCGTATTATCTTCCTTTCGAAATTTGCCTTATTGACCTTGTTTCTAGCAGACAATTATTACTCGTAAAATTAAATCATTAAAACAGAGATAAGAAATTGTACATTCGAAAGCATACCTACAACTACAACTATCCTTTACTTCTTTAATCTTTTAATTAAATATTTTAGTGATTATTATTTACATTCAATGGAAAGAAACACCGCTATTAAATTTTTTTGACTCATAAGAGTTGCTAAATAAAATTATTACATAGCCATGTTGAAATTTGAGAAAATTAAGGGAGAGACGTGGACCAATAAAATAATAATATAAATTAAAAAAAATTCGCCAGCTGGCGAAGTGGTCGGTCGTATTTATTGTCTTTGGAAAACCCCCAAAAAATCCGTCGTTTCGTTATGAGCGTCGTTCCGCTTTAGCTTTTGCCGTTACAAAATTTATTACAAAAAATTAAAATTAAAATTTTAAAAAAATTACCACCGACCTTCTAGAAGAGATGAGAATTTTAGAACTGAGGTGGGGTTTCAATTTCGTAAGCAAAGCATCCACCAATTTAATCCATGACGACGGCGACGGCGACATTACCCTTTGATTTGTGGACTCCACACGGCGGTCCCCCAAGAAACTCATCCTTATCTTCTTCTTATCTTCCTATGTTCGCTTCAATCAACGCCGCATTTCCGCTGCTTTCAAGTTTCATTTTCAAACTTCTTCCTTTTTCTCAAACACCCATTTTCGGGAGAAGAAGTAATGGAAAATTAGTGCAAACCAATCGGAAAAGAAGAAAAAAATGTGTGCAGAAAAAAGTTAAAACAGTACGCGATTCAATCACAAGCTTTACTATCCTTTTAACATGTGTTCTCTGTTACAAATTCGAGGCCTATATCTCACGATATCAGATAGCAAATCAAGAAGAGGGGAACCGTTTTGATTTTGATTTAGTTTGTTTTGTATATGATCCCGATGATCCCCTGTGTTGAGACTTGAGAGAGGAATGTATGGAACAGTGGTGGTGAGTCGTCAATCTTCGTCTGAGGTTTCGGGGTGCGGAAACTGGTTCAAATCGGGCTTGTCGGAAATGGGTTTGGATTGGGAGAGAGAAGTTTGGTGGGCGTCGACTCTGGCGCCGACCTCTATGGCTCTTTTGCGGATTGAAGAAGGGGAGACGTCGGGGAGGTGGTGATCGTCCATGTCGTGGAAGATCAATTCGGGAAAGTTGAGGCGGGCGGAGGGGCCACGGAGGTAGAAGACGGCGGTGTCGTAGGCTCTGGCGGCGGCGACGGGGGTGGTGTAGGAACCCAGCCAAATGCGAGACCTCTTGTTGGGTTCTCTGATTTCGGCCACCCACTTCCCCCACTTCCTCATCCGTATCCCTCTGTACGGCTTCTCCTGCCGCCGCTGCTTCCGCTTCTCGCCCGCCGAACTCGTGCCGCACCACTCTCCTTCCATGCTAACAACAACAACACAGCCCCCTTATTTTCAATACCAATTACCAACAAGCTTCAACTATGTGTATATATATATATATCAGAGAAGAGAATCGGTGAGGCGCAGGGGCAGTGCAGGGCAGCACGTCGTCGGGATGTGAAGGAAGGAAGAGAAGAGACAACTCGAAAGATGGCCGACAAATTCAATCGTCTGTCCAAAAATTTAAAAAGAGGGGAACCCAAATTGCATAATTAGTTTTAGGATTTAGAGTGTATAAGTAATAAGATTAAGAGTTTGGAGGAGGATGAGATTGAGGCCTCCCAAAATAAATGAGAATCCAAAATCCAACATAGCCGGGTGCCGGGTGCCGGGTGTCGGGTGTGACGCATGTGAGGGGAATAGGGAATGGGGATCCGGATTTAATTAGGTAGATGTTTGCGAATTTCTATACCGAGCATAATTCGACTAGTTAATTATATAATTGAGAAATTGAAAAGGGATGGGGGATGGATATTAATAATTTGTTTCCTTTTATTTCGCATAGCATAAAACAAGTGGCCTGGAATAATAATATATAATCTTAGGGGGGGAGAGAGAGAGAGAGGTCGGTGCTCGTTGGTGGATGAGGGAATGGCTTTTCATCCACGCAATGGAAATGGAAATGGGAACCTCATTTATGGTAATTCTTTTCGTTTGGTACTTCAGCTTAGGTATGGATTATTCAGTTTCATAATTTTATACTTCCAATTCCAATTTCCCTTTCTTTTTCTTTGGTCTCTCTTCAGCATTGTACTAAAGAAAATGTAGACATAATACTCACAACAAGAAAACACAATAACAAATTTGGTAACTTAAACAAAGAAAACACATACTTAAATAATATCGATTAAGTTTAATTTTTGAAAAATGGAAAACTAAAAATGAAAACCTTCCTAAATTCAATTTTCAAATTTAAAACTATATATTAATAAGGAAATGATCAGGATTTTTTACATTAAAAAAAAGGTATTATACAGAGGTATGAGTTTTTTTTTCCTTCGATTACATATGTGGGGTGGGATTGAAATTTCGACTCCATGGAAGAGAAGAGAGATTGTTAATAACTGAAGTATTATACCTCGTTACGAGATTAATCTGACCAAAAACTTCATATTAGTGTTGGACCTAAAGTAAAGGTCATGAATTTATGCAACGAGAAACCACTCTTCAATCCCAACTCACCTCCATTATTGAATTTACGTTGTGAATCACAGACGTGCAAACGGGTCAATATATTAGTGAGGTCCACTCTACCACTCCTTTAGATACAAAAATAGAATTCATATGCAGGTAAGCTGATCTAATTGCTGTCTTTAGATTAATACCTCGAATTCATACTAACTCGAGCGTCCGAATATTTCCATTCTTCGGGGTAGGCTTCTCTTACATCCAAACAAACACTGTGTGCGTAGACGATCCAAGATTTGGCTATAAAACAGAATCCTTAACTTCATATTATTAATAAGCTAATCAATTAGATAATTGTAATTTGGTAACCTACTCGAAGGTTTTGATATCCAAAGTTTGGAGGTAGACGTGGACGAGACATACAATTACAAAATACCAAACAGCTGGGGTTGGGGTTGGGGTTGGGGTTGAGAATCGATTAACGAATCTAATTAATGGAATTAAGTAATAAGTGGTTTTGTTGGTGAGACGGCACCTAATTAACTAAACAAAACTGGGATTTTCACAGACGTGTGGTGTCACGGCCATTATTAGTTTGGTGACCATCATTCATCATTTTTCATTATTGCTTCCCACCAAATAATTGGTTTCAACAATCGAGTTTTAGATACTTGCAATTACAGACCATTATTAATAATTCCAATACAACGTTACCATTTTTTTTAATTTTTCTTAGTCTAATTCGGCTGTGCAAACCTACCAGGTGAGAATTGTCGAGGGATTTGTTCCTCGACGAAGCTCGTGTATTTTTATAGTTTTATTTTATTTGATAAGTCAATGTTAACGAAATAACTGAAATTAAGCCGCAAAATAAAATGAACACAAAACAACTCTCAATCATAGCAGTCTTTCAATGTTAAGAGAAAAGAACAGTAATTTTGTGGAGAAAAAAAAAGATTGACCATAATTGTGTATTATTGGATTGAAATGTTTATTGTCTTCTATAATTTAGAAGAACATAATGAAATATTGCATAAGACCATATTATAATATAGATGGTAGAAAGCAAGTGGAAGCGGTAATATTGATGTAGTGTTGGTTGGGTCAGAGAGTTGTGGGGAAAAAGGGGAGGGATTGCATTGTTTTATGAGCTGCAAACCAGACTCATCAATCATTCCATTCCCCACACCTGCTTCAATAAACCACCCTGCCTAACCATATCATATACAGAGTTTGCTGTTTCCAGCTTTGCTACTGGAACTGGAAGGGAAAAAAATGAAAGTGATACTTTTCAGGCAAATTTCTACACACAAAGACCTAAACTCTTGAACTCAATTATAGCTCATATCCGTACAAAGATCAACAATTACAGGGTCCACTGATCATGAACCAACCGGCTACACAGAAGCTAGAAAATTAAGACTTTCAAAATGAATAATAAAACAGTCAGAAAATCTAAAAGGTCCCGGAACTACCAGAGCAATGTTGTAACAGCAGCCTATACCAACAATCCTAAAAAGCAAATATCTTGGGAGTGTAGATGATAAATTATTCTCCCTCCTCAAACCACAAAAGCAATTAAATTGAAAGTACCAATATGGTCACCGATCCTGCTAAACCCCTAAATAGCAAAATAAAATTAAAGGGTACAAGGAAAACTCAATTCTAACCTTGAAACAACTATTAGGTAACAACATCAACATCTACGTCAGCCCCGCATCAAACTATTCAACGTTGTTGGCCATTGTGGACATGCGCTCTTATTTATGATCCTTGAGCACCGCGACTGCAACACTTCTCAATGATTCTGTAGCCTTCAGCAAATCTGATTCAGAATGCCCAGCGGATACCATCAACCTAATTCCTACTGGCAACCGGCATTTATCGAGTGTTGATCTTTTAGAAGTTGGAATAAGTACAGAGTATTCCCTAAGGGCCTGAAAATACACAAATCTTCAGAATATATGATGAAACATGAAGTATTGAAGTCTGATTGTATTAGAGACCACGTTACTTACACGTTCAGCAATATTTTCAAGGAGTTGTAGATCATTTTGTACTGACCCCGTAGATTTCTCTAATATGAGAAAGACAATGGGCGATTCTTGATTGCTTGCTAGTTTAAGGCCTGGTATATCTGATAATCCTGCATTCTCCCATGAATTTTAAATAAATATGCATAATGTCATCCAAATTTTTTAAGAAAAGAAAAGAATGTAATTTAGATAGCATGCAGCGCCTATGCATGTCTTATCACAGTAGCACCTAGACAAGACACTTTGTGAACTGTATAACTTTTCGTTAGAACTAATATTCAAGACAAAGCAATATAGCATCTTAACATTTATTACATCTGGATCAATAATCCCATCTTAAACATCAAAGAAATGCATATGTAATAACTTGGGGGTTCTATGTTAAAAATAGATAAACTAAGCTCTAACACACAATTAGACATGAGATCAGAACAAACCTTGCCATAAAGTAACTATATTCTTTTTCAGCTTTGTTAACAGAATGGGATGTTCCTCTAAAAGATCTATGGCGGTAATGGCAGCACTAGCTAGATACGGGGGCAAAGAAGCAGAAAAAACATAACCCGAACTGCTCAAGCGCTGCACAATTTAATACAACAAAACTTAGCACTTAAAACTATTAGGAAGGTTGCTGCAACCAAACTAAATTAGTTAAAAGATTCTGAGGAGCCAGCAACTGCATTGATCCATGTACATAATAAGGTAAAGTAAAAGAAACGAGACGATGGGAGGAAAGTAAAGTTATTTTTTATATTATCATAAGGTAATACCTGGTGATCAATGACTCTAGCACTTCCAGTGCAGAATCCACCTTCTGTAGCCAATGCATGTCCCATAGCAGCAGTTACTATATCTATCTTATCCACCTGCAACATGGAACCATCATCAAGAATCTAAATCTAATAGTGGACAAACCTAAAATTTTTGTTTATAAACATACAGAAACCCCACAGTGTTCTGTGAGACCTCTTCCAGTACAGCCAAGTACGCCAAAGGAGTTGCTTTCATCCAATAAAACACGAAACCGGTACTCCTCCTTCAATTTGATGATCTCATCCAATGGTGCAATTTGACCAGAATTCTACAGAATTAGAAGTAAAATATCAGAAAGTTTTGGACAAGCAGGTTATTAATAAATGATAAGATTAATTTTTTAGAAAGAAATGAAAGAAAAAGAGAGCTTGAAAAGATCTAAAAACAATCCCATAGTGACAACCCTACTAGCAACCCTAGTTGGTTTAAAAGATTTCATTCAATATTTAAATCTCCTTATTCTCATTTTTACCTTCTAAATTATATGAATAGTTAAACTAAAAGTATGATAAGTGTCTCAGGAAAATTCTTTAAATAATATGAAGATCGTTATCTTCACATTGAAGAACTTTGGTACATTAAACATCATATTGAGCACAACTTGATTTCAGACGTATACTCTAAAGTCCAAACAACAAATATCAAAACTTGATGTGTAAAACAACCTGGTACACTGCTTCAACCACAATATAGCGTCGCAGTTTCTTAGCCCTTTCATTCCCGGCAGTGATTTTCTCAAGAGTATCTCTCAAGGATTTCATATCATTGTGCCTGAAATATACAATTGTGCTTCTGGATAGATGTAGCCCATTTTGTATTCCCCAATGAACACCCTCATCCCTGGCAAAAGAAAAAAGCACTGCTTTACTCTTTAACATAGATTACTCTTTAACGTAGAGTCTCAATCTGCAATCAGTATTTACTCCCACCGTGTAACATAGTAACAGAATAGAAATAACAAAATAATCTGAACCGAATCTAATAAACAGCACATCTGACGACCAAACAATGAAATACAAGCATCCTATGGCATCACAGGACATGGCTCCTAAAGGCAACCTTGTGATATAGTATAGGGATGAACTCATATCAATACCAATAATTTCACTCTTACGAAAATACTATTCAGAAAAGGGGAAAAATGAAAATAAGCTTCCCAGTAGCCTTATTCAATATTCATCCAAATTAATTTAAATAATCCCATTGAACTTGAGCTAGAAAAAAGGAATATATTTTTAAAATGCACTATATTTCAGTTCTCTTAAAACCATAGCAAAATATGAAACATGTCAACTTCTGCCTAAAAAAGTAAAAGAAGAAAACATAGAAAAGGTATTAATGTTAATTTTATCTTAGTTACTAGAAAGTTTCCATCTACTGATGTTTTAAACAGAAACATTTCATAGGATAAAGGTGATAAAAAAACAATCATAATGACAACAAAAGACAAGCTACCAATTTCCTAATAAAAGCAACATATTAAAACATTATAATAAACTTAAAGTTAGCAACTACGTTCTCTAATAAGAATTCAGCAGCTACGGTACTCACGCTACAACGACGTCTCCTCTTTTACAAAAGGCTGGAATTGCACTAAACATAGTAGAAAGTCCATAAGAATACAGAATTGAGTCTGGAGTTCCCAAAAATTTTGCTATTCTGGCTTCACAATCAAGGTGTACATCTGTAACCAATTAAAAAGGAGTCATATAATGCAAACTGCCCCGACAAATAGTTCAAATTCAATACCCAATCTTACCTATTGTCCCATAAAACCCACGAGGACCACACGAACCGACACCATATTTCTCCAATGCATGGGTACATGATTCCTGAGGGAAAATAATTGCTCTTAACTGATTATAAACTGATTCTAAAGTACAAAGAATCTGTGAACATTCTAATTATTAATGGGAAACTGCTCACGTACAAGTAATTTCTCGTGGCCTATCAATCCTAGATAGTTCGCAGATGCAAAGTTCACTACTTCTTTTCCTTTGATAATTGTATGTGGTCCAGAAGCACTGGATAAAATGAAACTTGTGAGTGAAATAAGGGAACAAACTATCGAGAAAATAAAGGTGAACGTGGAATTGGAAAAACACTTATCAGTCATGAGTTAGAAGTTTGTATAAACTAAAGATGAAAGTACATCCAATGAGTAATATGAATAAGAAATAGTAAATTAAGAAATTCCGTAAAATAATTGGCAGTCCAAAAGTGAAAGCCTAATCACCTTTCCAGCACTGGCGGTTTATACTGCATCTCTTTTGTAAGAGACGGAATAAGTGGCTCAGGAACCCATTCATCACATAACTCATCTATTTCCTACAAGGATCAGTCACACTCTTAAGCAAAATCGCGCAAAGAAATGTAGTGTGTTACCAAGTATATATTAACTCACTATAAAACTAGAGCTAGACATAATTACAAAATAGAATGACAAAGCAACAAAGACAGCTAAACCTCATAAAATGAAAAAGCCAAATCAGATCAAGAGAGTAAAATTAAAAGAGATCACTTTTTCTAACATGAAACAACATTTATTGCAAAAAAAATTAAGATTAATGCTTTTAGCAACAAAAAAGCTTCAAGATTACAAGGTTTAAAATGAAAGCAGAAATTACTTCATAATTTCTGAAGCATTACAAAGTTATACACTGGAAGTACATCAGAGTGAATGAAAATAAAAATCTATCTCTTTATTAGCTAAATAGCAAAATACAATAGACCCCGAAAAATAGGGAACTTGAGGTACAGAAAGCACCCTAAGACATTTATTAATCGTTATTACCTTGGCAATGAGAATCCATCAATCATCATTTGGGAGAAAAGCTCATATAATCGTTTAAACTCAATAGTAACAGGCTAAATCCAATTTTATTAAAAGTTTAAATTTATCTTTTTGCATATATTTACTTACATTATATTGAGTAACTATTTACATTTGAAAACTAGAACGATAAAAGAAATGAAAATTAGAACAATTGAAAAACCTTCTTTGTTAAGGGCCGCTTGGGGGGCTTGTAACTCTTCTGAGAAAGCAGAAAAAGTATGACCACCAAAAGAAGAACCTCCACAAATAAATGTCCTTCACGAAAGAGGTAAAAAACGAATAATTCACCTAACAGTTGAAACGTAGAGACGAATATAAACCAAGTTCTTTGTGGAGCTAATAATGATACCTCCAATATGCACACCAAAGATAACTGCTCGAGCAGATGGAGCGTCGAGAATCAAGGTTACCCAGTCTAAGGTAGATTTCACTATACTTGAAAAAACTGATTCCATTATTATCCACACCTGAATCTAAATTGTTACAAGAATTCGAACATCAATTGGATATCTATACTTGCTTCATGTTTTACAGCCTAGAGACCGCAATTCACAGTCCTGCATTTTTACGTGTTAATAACATTAAATAAGTTACATAATAAGTGAACCCTGTTAGAAAAGGACACAAGTACCTCCATTGGAAAGGTTTCCAAAAGAGAACTTAAAGGTAACAGTCGAATGTTTATATGGTCCGAAGAAATGGGCTGAGCAGTGACTATTCTTCATCCATGCAGTCATCATTCAACTTGTCATTTTACTTGTGGGAATTGGGAAATAAGATAACACGAAACTCAAACGCCAAAAGCAATGAAAAAAAAAACTGATTCCTCGCGCATCAAATAACCGACAAGTCTGACTGTGATCGTACTGAATCAATAAATCGCACATCACTAAATTTCAAACTGAATGAGTAACTTGGCTAATCGATCTAAAACCTGAGTGGCCCTAGGGTTACCTAAAACCAGCTCAAATCTTCCACCGCTGTATACACATCATCGAGATGCACAAGGACATTGAAACCGAAATAGATTAAGGAGAAGTGAGAGAATGAAATTACCTTATAATTCTGGAGAAAAGGACAGAATGGGGCGACGGATGACGATGCCGGATTTGGGATTCTCTCTCGGTTTCCCTTTCACTTGTCGAAGCCAAGATTCAGAGAAATAAAACGAGAGAATGGGTCAATACTGGAGAAAGCAAGTAATTAAAAGAAAACGAAAAAAAGAAAAAAAAAATGCTCTTATATTGTTTATTCGTTTATCCCGCACAAATGACATGGCACTATGACAGCGGCCATTGCCCTATCAATATAATCAAGGAAGTTTTTCTTAAATGTCCTTTCATGGGATCAGAGAAAAAATAAATAAATCGTCCTTCCACGTTAACCTTTTGTAATTTCTTAAACTGATATTATAATAATAATAAAAAAAACTAGTTTAGATTTTCATATTTTTATATTTAGAGTTAGCCGTTAATTAAAACCTTCAAATTTTAAATATTTTAATGAAGTTATTATTTGAATATTATAATTTTAATTTTAAAATTATAGTTAAATTTTAAATAATTAAATATGTTTAAGAGAGACTAAATATTAGCATTTCATTTTAAATCGTACCTTCAACTCCTGTTGCAATGAAAGTGGTTAATGAAATAAAGTTTGTGTGAAATTTTAAGTAGTGTCAAAATGAATATAAATAATGATCAGGTGTCTACTTCTTTTATTCTTTTATTAAGGGTGGAAGTTCAAATATTTAAAAGAAAAAAATCTAAATAATCTTTGCAAATCAAAGAAATTAGTAAGTGGCTTCTAGCCTCAATAGTAGAATTCTTTTGTTTTGTTTTTTTTTTTTATCTATTTGCAGCCTCATCTGTCGTTGCCTTTTTTCTTTTATTCCAACTTGGCCACTAAATAGAATGTCGTGGAAGTGAATGTGTTACTTTGACAATCTATCTTCTTAATGAGTATGAAATTTCAAAGAGAAAAATCGCAAAAGTGAATGTGTTACCTAATGTAGTCAATTAGGCAATCTATCTTCTTAATGAGCATGAAATTTCAAAAAGAAAAATCGCAGACACGATACAATACTCCAAAACACAAATATCATATATTATGAATAATTCAAGGCAACATAGACCTGTGATTCCTAAAGTTTGAGAGGGTGTCTATTTGATTGTTGAAGTTTTAAATAAGATATTTTTCTAAAAGTTTGGAAAATAGTTTTAAATAGTCATTGAATTCATTGTTAATTTGAAAAATAATGTGGTGACTGCACCCATGCTTATGTGACATTTTATCTCCTCTATCTTCCCTTCTCATTGTCCCTTTTTAACATACATCCTCATCTTCTGATTGCCATCGTTGTCACACCATCGTCGTTATCCCTCCCCATTGACCATTTTCGATTAAATTTCATCATCAAACGAGCCTCACCACCCTTCATTTTTTTTTTGTTAAGGGACATTCAAAGATATGAAGGACAAATAGTTATTGCACTTCGTTTCAGACATTTGAAATGAATTGATGCTAACAAAAGCAAAGCGTCCCTTTATTTCATGGATTGAAGAATGTCCTTCTGTGATGGCCAAGAGGAGAAGGCAACGATTAAAGTATAGTCACCTCCTTGTCCAATCATCAAAATATAATATAGCAAAATAAATTAACAACTCAATCGCCACATTATGTATTTGGTTAAATAATTGATCCTTCAGAATAATTTTTCAAATTTCAATGATTAAAGTATCTTTTATCAAACTTCAAATATCAAATAGTTACTAAATTAAATGTGTATTGTACCCAAAAAAAAAATTTATAATTACCGATATGAATAAATTTAATAACAAAAACATTCACACATCCTTATATTTGTTGTAGTGAAAATATTTATAACATGTATAATGTGTGAAAATTTTGAATAGTTGTACAGATACATTGGTTATGTGAGCCCATGACCTCGTGGGCTGCACTCTATCCTCCATTGAAGCCCATCCCGCGTTGCATCTCAGCAATCTCAAAGCATAAGCTGCTCCCTCCTTTGGATGTAATTTCTCCTTCCTATATCTACTGTCCTATGTGTCTCGTATGTGATTTATTTCAGTTCAACAAATGTTCAGTTACAGAACCAAATCTTTAAGCTTCATATATAGAATGTGTAGGCGCCATAATCAGAGAGCCGTGCTTTGATCTTATCATGAAGAATTGTGGGATACAATAGACAATAACATCAAATTAATTAAACACTCAATTACAAAATGTCAAAATAAATACAGCATACAACGAGGCCATAACCATAACACAGCAAACAGCCGAGACAAGGGAAAATAAAGACACAAGCCACCGAAGAAAATCAAAGTTACGTACGTTTCCCTGATCCGGTCATTATTATACGTACACTCGAGAGTGAAGTAGTGATCAATGGCGAGGCCTTTGGAGCGCCGCGTAGGAACGGGGCGAAGGGTGAACCATTTCATCGACGGAAGCGACGGCGGCGGAATTAGCCAGCGCCGCTGTGGGGAGCGTACAGGGGACGAAGCTGAAGGTGTTGGGTCGTGGGCAGCTCCTGGGCTTGGCGAAGAACGCTTTGCACTCGGCCGCGGACTTCTGCAGGGGGAAGCCGGAGATGCAGTTTCTCTGCACGTGGAGCCTTCCGGCTCTGACAAGCCTTGTGCAGCGCGTGCCGATTTGGGTGAAAAAGTTGTTGCTTAGAGTTATGTTGAACACGTCCGGGAGGCTGCAGAGTGAGTCCGGGATGGTTCCGTAGAATTGGTTGTTGGCCAAGTTGAGAATTTGTAGGCTCCGTAAGCAGCCGAAAGACTGGGGTATTGGACCCGTCAGAATGTTGGAGTTGGCGTCGAATACGGTGGCTTTGATTAGATACCCAATCTCGAAAGGCAGACAACCGGAGAGCCTGTTTTCTAGAAACAGTACCTCCCTTAGAGTTCTCCATGCTCGGCCGATCGTCGGCGGGATTGGACCTGTTCAAACAACAACATCGCTACAACTTTATACTAGTCTATCAACTTTGTAATGGTCACCACAATTAAATTTTTTACTAGTACGCTGAAAAAAATGAAAAATGAATTTAATATATATGCCAGTGGAACTCGTAATAAATGAGGAGGAAACAAATTCTAACACAGCACTTTTTAATCTAATATCATGCTAAGGAGGAATAAATCACTCTTCAATCTGCTTAAGATGATAGATTAGGAAAATTTAGTTAATGTGTTGGATATCTAACATTTAATGATGAGGATCAATCTCGTAGGAACTTGTATTTACCATTTTTGAATATTTGACAACTTGTTATTTAAAGAAAAAACGTTTTTTTTTTTTGCTTAATTGTCAAATAGTTAATGGAGGTACGACATGATTTATTGAAAATAGTAATGAATATGGATAAGACAAAGATTTTGTCCACTTAGAAGAAGCAAGTATTCTTTAAAAGAAAAAACTTAGCTAGTAGAGTTAAAAGAGCAACTTACCATTAATCCTATTAAATATTTTATAACTATAAAAGATAATTTTAAAAATTAAAAAAAAATACCGGGACTTTTAAGCCAAGTTTTTTACTTTTTCAAAAAAAAAAAATTTTAATTTAAAAGCGTAATTTGAAAATTGAAACTGAAGAGAAGACCTGTAAACTTGTTGCCGGCGAGTGTGATGTAGAGGGCGGGCGTGTTACCAAATGTTGCTTGGGGGATCCTCCCGGAGAAGCCATTGTTGTTAATGAAGAGAACGTCAGTGTCGAGGTTGAACAACCGGTACGGGACGGAACCGTTATAAGTATTGAAACGGAAGTCCACAAACGCCAATTTATTGGCTCCAAGAACGTACCCCGGGAACCCACCCAGAAACTTGTTGTTACTCAAATCCAGCTCGTACAGGAACCGCAACTTATTTATGTTCCGATTGACAACGCCGGTAAAATTATTAGAATTGGCGTGGAAAAGAGCAAT